GTCAGCATGGACCCCAAACCCACATGAGCTGCCCTGAACAGGGCTGTGGTCTGGCACCCTGAGCACCACCAAGGGGATTTACATGGTTTGAGTATTTTATGGTTCGGTTTTCACTGCGCTGGCATTTACTGACCCTGGGAGGGAGGTCACGTCAGTGCTAACGTCTGCCCTTGCAGTGGGGGGGGGACTAGGGCCAAGCAGGACCCAGCACATCTGCACTCAGGTGTGGCTGCCACCTCCTCTAGCACTGAGCTGCTCCACTTCCCTCATTCCCACCCACGAGGTTTGGCCCAGGGTCCTCGGAGGGCACACACATGGGTTTGGTTGCCCCTAGCTGGGGATACTCCAACACGTTCCCAGCAAGCTGTGCTCCCTCAAACACCAGCACAAGTCCTCATGCCATCCCCTGGGGCACACAGTGCCCTCCCTCTATGCCATGCTTACCACGCTGGGCCATGCCCTCACCAATCTGGGGTATTCTGAGCTGAGAAAACCACACTGCAGTGCTGGTGACACCTCAGGGAGCAGAGGAGACCTGGATCCACTGCCACACAGCATGGCCAGGGCCAGTCCCTTTGAAGAGCTTAGCCCTGGGGTGGCTGGTGCAGGGCCAGAGCTTCGTCATCCACAGAGGGGCTGCAGACCCAGCCTGCATCACTGTTTACATGGAGCTCCTTCATCATCCCATCAGATGGTGCTTTCACACCCACCCTCCTGCCCGTGGCGCTTGATCTGTGTCCCCACTGGGGGGGTTGCTCTGGATCTGGTGTGAGAGGTGCTAACTGGGACAGGGATGGCTGACTCAGACCCATGTGCTCAACCTGCAGTGACTGAAACCAGACTGGAGCTGCCAACACACAGAGCAGCTCTCAGCATACAGCCCCCAGAATGATGACTGCCCACAGCATCCTCATGCTCTGGAAATACACGGAGCTGGAGGATCTCCAAGTACTTCCTGTGTTGCCAGAGAGACATTACTGCTTCTGGCAGAAGGGACAGAGGGACAGGATTCAGTTCATCCCAGCAAATCCACACTGGAGCTGAGGACTCCTCCATCCTGAACCCATACTGACTTCTAAGCTGTGCTCAGTCCTGACTCAGAGGCACCAGCAGCCCCAGCAGCAGATGTGGGAAATGAAGTGATCCTTCTTCACTAGGCAACTTGCACCTTCAACACAGAAACCCTGAACAGAGCAGAAACACATTCCAACTGTTCCCAACGAGGAATGAGTGGAGGCACACATTTCAAGCCCTCATTTCAGCAGCTGGTACTGCTTCTTGCTCCTGCTCAGCTCTAGCACTTCTCTACCAGTCCTCCTTTGCTCCAGTAGAAACTGGAACATCAAAAGAGCATAAGAGAGCTATCTGGCTCTGGTTTTCAGTAATTCTGAGACCCTGGTGCCACGCCCAGAGCCCCAGGAGAACTAGCCTTCTTGCAGTGAACTACTGTGCTCTCCCCAGCCACATCCCAGAAGACAGAGGACTGCACTTTCAGATAGGGCACCAGATTTCTCTTTAAAAAAACCTGGGTTATCATTTGCATTAGATCTGAACCCTAACCAAGAGACAACCAGCTTTTGACCACCTTCCATTCACAGGCATTAAACCACCACGTGAGGTGCTCCCCGAGGGACACTGACATTGCATATGCAAACATCTCACTTCTGTTCCCTCCCAGACTAAACCAAAAGGCCTTTATTTCTGCCAAGAAATACAGCAGGATCTTAGCATTTCTCAAGCAGCTTTTAAGAGTTCTGCTGGGACCTGGGACGCGCTTTTGCTTTGCCTTCACTGAAGTCTATCTTCAAAGTAGCAATTGTTGTCAGCACATCACAAAATCTGCCAAATGACTAGGGGATCAACAAGCCCCTCTGTAGCTCAACATCTGTGGTAGCAGCACTCTGGGGAGGGGCAACACTGGATACCAGTGAAATATGGAGCCCACAGTCCTTTTGAGGGCTGGAGGGTTGGGCTGGGACAAGGCAGGTGCTGGGGGGACACAGCAGCTTCCCAGTCCCCCCACCTCAGGGCACCAGGCTGTAGCCAGGAGCTTCCTGAGGGCTCTGGGGCAGATTTTTGTCCTGCAGCAAGAGCCAGGACAAATCTCAAGATGTTTGACTTGCCTGTCTGCTCAGACAAATTCCCTTTCTGATGACCTTGGCTTTGCCTCTGGTCCCATTTTACTGCTTCTGAGAGGCCTGCCAGCCACACGAAATGGAAACAGAGCACCCCACCTGAAAACACTGTGCAGAGCCCAATTGAGTTCTGATGGCTTTTTATTTTTCTAAGATGCCTTAAAAGAGTTTGCTCTTTCAGGAGTCTTATTTTCTCTATTCAAACATTTTGAATTCCCCTCCTTCCTTTAATAGGTAATTAAATAATCTCAGTGAACTTTGTTTCCTCCAGCTTTCAGCAGGGCACCTACTGCTGCCCTCAAGGGAACTCCAATATATATAACTATTGGATTTTTTTTGTTTCAAATCATTATTTAATCAGGATGAAGGGGGAGTAGAAATGAGACTCTCACTCATACTTCAGAATAATTTGGAGTGTGTTCCTAAACCACGAGGCAGCACTCTCTAATAGGTTACAAAAATACAATCACTACCCATCTTCCAATTAAGCTGAATAAGTCTGTACTGCAAACAGCCCTGAGGTGCAAGATGACTAAATATTTTCTCAGCCATAAGGGGACTGAGACCCATCAATGAGCAGTGTGGCACAGCCTCACTTACAGTTGGAGGATTTCTTTCCTGGGTATTTTTTCTCCTCATTTTGCAACTCACTTCAAAGTGGGGTTCATTTCCTTTCCAGAGGTGCATAGTGTCTCCCTTTCTCACTTTTTCTGTGCATTGTAATAATGAAAAGAATAAATAAAAACTTGCAGCAATGACCCCAACGAGTCTTGCTCTTGGTGAGGCCCTGGTGGACATCTGCCAAGGAGCTGGTGGCACAGGGAGGAGCATCTGCCAAGACAGGCTGCCTGGGGGAATGAGGCTGTGTGCCTGGCCTGGGGTTCCTCCACCTTCCAGAGCAGAGGTTGGGGGGAAACTCATTGCTGCTGACAATGGGCCCAACTGAAAGTCAGCCTCTTCAGGGAACACAAAACCCAGCAGTGCTGTAGGAACACAGTATTACCTCTTTCTGCACCATTGTGAATTGCTGATGTAAGGAATATTGAGTGGGAAATCCCTTTTTTTTGTTTTCTAGATGGAGATCAGGGTGATACTACCAGGGCTAAGCCAAGTCCAGGAGCATGGAGACAACATCCACTGTCCCTGCTTGGGGTACCCGGGGCTGGATGGCAACACTGCTGAGCAGCCTAGCTCACAGACCCACTGCTGGGGGTAAGCTCCCGAGAACACCAGGCAAAGCTTTGTTCCTTGGCAAAGCCCTTTTCTGGGGTGCAGCCAGTGCCGTGTGAGGCAGGCCAGGGTGTCCCACCTCGGCTCCAGCCAGGCTGGCACTACTTTGGAGCAAGGGTTTGCCTTCCACCACCTCCTTTGGTACCTGGTGTACAGCAAAGGCTGCAGGCATCTCTCCTGCACCTCAGGCTGGTGGCCTCCCTGCTGTCCCAGCATATTTACAGGACAAAACCCAGGGGTTACCTCTGTCCCCTGGCAGAATGGGGAAAAGGAAAAGCAAAACTAGAACAACTTCCACATTTATGGATGGCTTTGCCTTTCTGCTTTTCAGGGACCCTGTTTGTTGTCAGCAACCTGCAGCCTAACAGTTAAAATAGTAGCTTTTCCCCATGGAACCCCAAAACCCAGGGTAGAAAGTGGAGAGCAACAGCAAACCAATATGCAGGTCTGCTGTAAGCTCTCCTGCACACGCTGCCCCAGCCCCTGCACAGAATTTCCCCACTTCTACCCTCCTGCAGACACACGAGCACAAAGACAAGCATCATTTGGAACAGCCATACCCCACAGAGCCTCACTGCAAACCTGGCTCAAGCCTGTGTTAATTTGTGACATTGTAAACGAGCTTCAGTGGCGGTAAAGGAGCTGGCAAGGGAAGCATATGCAGCATGCAGTTATCTTCATCAGGTACAGCAAAGGCAATTAAACTCATCCCCTGCAGGTATTTATATTGCACTGCTCAACTGAAAGCACAGTGGCATGTAATCCATCCATGCTGGGTGAAGTGTCTGCAGCAGGCTGGGGGATGTTCTTTTCAGAAAGAGCTGCTGTGTAGCACCCAGTTTCTCCACACGCTGAGGCACAGCCCCGCCATCCTGTCCTCAGCTGCTGGCCGTGGCAGCTGCGTGGGGTTCAAGGGAGACTGAAGCTTGGAAATGCACTGCCCACAGGGAAAGCAGCAGGGAACTGTGGGCTGTTCCTGCATCTGGGCATGCATCGACTTCTGCATAAAGGGAGAGCAGCAGCAAGGCAGATGCATGGGCAGGGTGTTATCTTTTATGCCTTATCCCTCATAAATTACAGGTAGCCAGAGTTAGAAATTGTGGTTGTTCCAGAAGAAAGGAAGAAAAACTAACTGGAGGGGCAGAGGGAGAAGGGTGACAAAATTTACCTCAAAACTCTGAGTTTTCAGAAGAATACAGAATAGAAGTTGGCTTAAAAAGCCAAGTCTCTGGTCTGGTGGTGCAGTAGCATTACTGCATGGGAGTTTGGTGTTGCCTCTCTGGGTCTCTTCTGCACATTGGGATCCCCCCTCGATCCATCCTTTTCCTTTGGGCAGGTGACAGTTTGGCTTGGAACCTCACACCAACCACCACAGAGCACCAAAACATGGTGGGTTTGATCCTAATTTGGAATTTTCCACAAAATCTTTCCTTTCCCAGTAATTTAGTTTTAATATGTGATCAACATTTAGTGCAAGAGCACGTTTTCACTTCATAACACATCCAGGCTGCTCTCAGAGTAGAGTCTGACAGAGCTAAGCTTACTTATAGAGCAACCATTTAACTCACAAAAAGGAGAGGCATCAAAGACTTGTGTAGAGTCATTAATAAATGAGACTAAAAGTTTCCATTCCATTTTTCCTTTGCTAGTTTTGGTCACACTATGTTTAATGACCTTACTCAGAAAACTTTCAGGGGCAGCACTTAATCAGGGGCTTCAGTTCAAACTAGTGCTTAAATAGGTTCTTGAATGATGTCCCAGAGACCGTACTTCTTTTGGGGAACAAAGGGACATTAGTGGGTTGCAGAGTCAAGCTACTGAGGCCTTTTATTGATATATTTGCCTGTGTTATTAACCCTTACTGGAAAGAATGCAGCAGGGGCCCAATGACTTCTGCTTTGCATCCACCCCCTGCATCCATCCCTACAAAACTGAATTTTTCCTGCCCTGCAGCTTGTGTACTCATTCACCCCGAGTGAAGCAAGTGGCAAGGGGAGTGCAGCATGCTTGAGTTTAGCTCATTTTAAAGCTTTTACAGTTTTAAATTAGAGTTTCCTCTTGCTCAGGGAACAGAACAGCTGGCAGGCGGCCTCACAGGACTCGGGGAGCCTGGCTTCAGAGAGAGAAAACCTAGCACCAATTAAAAACTAGGCTTAGACTTGAAAACATTTATGTAAAATATGCAGATCAAACCAAAAAAAAAACCAAAACAAAACCCACCCTTGTGACATGATGCAGTCTTTGGCTGGTTAGTTTTTTTGGGAGGAGCTCTTAGCTCATTCCTACCTTCCCAAGGTGACAGAGGGCAACGCCCCAGGCTGCTGGCAGTAAAAGCTTCACACCCTGTTATTCTTTCTGGGCATGTGTGCACAGGCACACACACATCCGAGCCACGTTCTGCTCCTCACTCTACCTTATATGGCTCTATAAGCAATGACTTGAGCACCACACACACCAGAGATATCCACGGAGAGCAGATCTGCACAACCAGCCTCTCGAGAGACAGCTTGTGCCTGGCTGCACCCCCGTACCACCACTGGGGGTTTGGAGCAGAACGCTGTTTGGGTGGGTGAAGCCTCTCCTCCTGCTGGCACTGTCTCAGATCTGATGGAGCTACTGGGCATGGCTGAGCTGTATCAGTCATGGCTAAGCCTAAAGGAGAAAATCCGTTCCCCTTTATGAACCAGTTTGGGGTTTGGAGGAGTCTGTACTCAAGACACCTCTGACATCACACATCCACACACACGAGTGCCAGATTCTGCACTATGTGGAGTCCTAGGCAGCAACTGATCTCTCCAGAACGCCTTTCAGATACCAACACCACGATCAAAGAGCTTCACACCTCTGCTTTGCAGCTACCAGGAATAAAGGAACTGTGCCATGGCAAAGGAACACTTCATATCAATCTGTATCTAATGTTTCTCTCCATCTCTTGCTCCCTCAATTCTGAGGCACACATCATATCATCTTTTCCCATGTATATGGAAAAACATCCCAAGGCATTGAGCCTGATTTTACCCTCAGCTGCACATGCAGCTCCCATTAGCATCATGATAGCTGCTCCTAAGCTCTGAGCTTGGCTCCTGGGCTTGTCAGTCCAGAGCAACGGCGATCCTAGAAGGATCCACAGTCAGAATACATCCCCTGCCAATAATCCCCAACTCATTACATGTAAATGTTTCTTTTATATACGTTTGATTCCCTCTCTTCCCCTGAAGGACTAAACTTTTGGACATAAAGACCAGTGAATTAAGTTCACATCCAGCTGAGCAAAGACTGCATAACAAACACTTCCCTGTAAAATACCATTGCTGGAGGCCACTTTTTATTAAACGTCCTCAATTCATTACTCATAGGCTAGAGCCTTTGCAAATCCTTCCCCTCTCCAGCCCCACCCTTGGTGAAAAGTGCTGAAGGAAGGAATAACTTTAAATACATTGAAGGACAGCACCATTAATAAATAACAGGGGTTTAACCATCTTTGTCTAACATTGCTGTAATCAAGTTATAAAAATTTCATATCCGACTTCTCGCCCAGATTCCTGTGGCTAGTTCCAGCAAAGCAGCACACTGGGTAATACTTACGACTTCCTTCGGAGACAGGAAGCTGTAGAGTGGGAGGGTTTGGCTGGCTTTTTGGCTGGCCTGAAACTCTGCAGAGGAGCTTCGTTTTGCTGGGATCTTTGAGCGGTGCCGGGAGTGTCTTCGCCGTGTTTTACGCCCTTCCTCCCGAGACCTGGCTCTGTGCCTCCAGAAGACATGAACAGCCCAAGCGTTATTCCTTGTCAGAGCAGCAGTACCCATCACCACCTCCATGCAAACCCTTGGCAGCTCTGTGCTAGGCTACTGTGTGCAGGAGAAGGTCTTCCACATGACTGCTCTGTGGAGTCATGATGGAGAGAAAAGGTGGGGGTAGGGGAGGGGTGTTGCTTTTCTACTTTTGAAAAATAAATATATTACATTCAGGCTTTGGACCTTAGCCTCAGATTCCAGCTCCAGTTCATGATTTTATAGTGGCTCAAGGCAAAATATATTTTCACACAGCCTTTGATGTCCCTGTGGTACACTACCAAGAGAAGACATGCTCTGCTTTTGCATAAACACCCCCCAATTACCAATTCCATTCTTCCCCACACCGATCCTCAGCTTTTCAGTGGGAGAGGTTCGTCCAAGTGCTTTCAGAAACCACCAAAACATGAACTCACGATGGGTACAAAGTCTGTGACTTGCAATCACAGCGGTGCCGGGTGTAGCACCAGCACCCACTTAGCTGGCCCTGGGATGCCTCTGTCATCCACGGGACAGAGATTCTAATCAGGTCAAAGACAACAGCTACAGATTGCCATGGGCACTTATATTTCCATTGCTAAGACAGTGTTGAAGGGTTTTTTGGGACAGCAGCAGCACAGAGCCCTTGGGCTGGGGAAGGCTGGCTTGGAATCGGCTGTCACGAGCTGATCATCAACCACGGGGATTAGAAGTGACTGCTGGACTGAAAAGCTGCAGCCACCGCTCCTGGAGGCAAAGCCCAGGAAGCTGAGCCCCCAGCACGCGATACGGCCGCTGCCAGAGCAGGATGTGGCCCCGCACAGACTCGGGGGGGTGACTCAGAAGCCCCCCAGGCCGTTACCTGCTCCGGCGGCTGGGCGAGCGGGACGGGGAGCTGGCGGAGCGGGAGCGGACGGGGCGGTGCCGGTGCCGGTGGGATTTCCGAGGGCGCCCACGGGAGCTTGGAGAGGCAGAGGGGAAAAGCACCATTAGGCTGGCAGACTGAGGGGGCAAGAGCTGGAGGCTGGAGTCAGGAACATTCAAATCAGAAAGGAGATCTGCATTCTAAGCCACAGAGACTGGTGTAGGAAGCTGCGCAGGACACCGAGGCAGTAGGAAGTCTCCATCCCTTCCCAGCTACACTGGCGTTAAGGCAAGCCATCTTACTGAGATCTGTGCCAGCATTTTAACCACAAGCTATCAGGCTGGCCCTGAAGACTGCTGGGGGAAGATCTATGGACTAACCTGCAGGAGCACAGCAGACAGCACCAATCCTTCCTGCTTTCAAGGCTTTAAAGAGCAACATGGTTGCCAGCTCATCTGCTTGCCCCGCATCCTGCGGCCTACCCTGAGACAGCCAGGAAAGAGCCTGGGACCTCCCATTGCCAGATCTCACTGGGGGGCACCATCTGTCCAGGCAACCCACCGCAGAGCTCCAACCCTCACATTTCTTGCTCCAATCCTCTCTGGGTTGCAGGCTCCTCGACAAGGAGATGCAGGACAGGCTCCAAACAGCACACTGCTCTCAGCAGCAGCCAGCCTTCCCCATGCTCTCCAGGTGGGGGGGTCTAGCCAGTCCTATGGGCAGGTGTCCTGGTTGCTATAACATCTCCTCTGGCAGGACCACAGGGCAGTTACCAGCAAATCGTGTGCAAGGATCCAGTGCAGTGCCCTGCTGCACTTCCCTGTGCTCCACTCAGGCTGTTGCTGAGGGATTACCTGGCCCAGGTACTGAAGGGCTGTTGTTGCCCATGCCAACAGCTCAAGTCCTGCATGCAGAGAGCAGGGTGATGTGGGTAGCGGGCTACCTGTCACCTCCTGTGCCCATTCCCTCTCATCGCTGTCCACCACAGCAGTTATTTTAGAACTGGTGGCAGAACCATCTGCTCAGGCTGGCACGGCTGTGCCAGCAGGCAGAGCTGCCAGTGGGTTAGCTGGTGGGAACAGTCTGGTTTCACAGCCAGTCACTGACAGCACTAGCACGACCTGCTTGTACAGCATTTAGCAATTTCTCGCTACAAAAACTCAGCAAATCACTGGCTTGAGAACAGCATCTCCTTTAAGACGAAAGGGCAACCTCCAGGGTAATTACTTGGACTCTGCCTGACTGTTTTTTGACTCTTTTCACACCCTATAATTATATTCTTAAAAACTTCACATTTTGGGCTCCTCCCTCATTTCCATACAGCTGACATCAGCAAGATCTCTCCCTCACATGGTGGATTTGTGTGAAAATCTTTGTGTTTGCTCTTCACCTTCAGTCCTTCCAGTTTAAGAGTTTTCCCTTTCTGCAGGAGGAAAAACTGGTCCTGTGTGGTTTAGATTACCAGTTGCTTGACAAAGATAAGCCAAAGCAGCACGATTATACAAAAACTGTGATCTGAGGTGTCTCATGGGATCTCTCTGATCCACACCTGGGAGCAGTAACATTTGCAGAACCCAGGAGTGGCTCAGCTCTGATTTGTGAGCTGGAATATGAAGGCTGAAACACTTTGGCTGGTTTATTCCCAAAAAACACTTCCAGCAGCTCTCGTTCCCCTAGGTCAGGGAGTACCAGCAGGGCATCTGATCTTTGGGTTAACCACCCTGTTAGGCTACTGCATCCTGGCCAGTGTTGGGTTGGGGGATGCCTGCTCTTACTGAACACCAAGGAAGCCTCAGCTTTACCACCGAGATTCCTGGCAGCACAGGATCCCAGTTTGAGGAGAATAAAAAAGGTGGCTGTGCTACTGAACAAGCAGAAATCATGGAGGAAAGGAGGTGGGCTTGCTGCACACAACACAGACGACCTGTGCAGGCAGCACAGCATGCTCTGCACCTCCTGGATTCCCAGTCTCCCCAGTCCCTCAGGGAACCACATTTTACACCACACCCCTTGATAGTCTAGCCCACAGGACAAGGGTTGTGCTCTGCTAGCCTTGTTGATGGGAACCTCAGCCCAAACTTTTTACAGCCTCCACCACCTCCAAACAACCCTTTCTCTTCCTTAGCCTCCCTGGCCTTCTGCTCCCTTTCAGGTAGTTGGTTGTCCTGTATATCTAATGAGTAGCCCCTACTGTAACCTCCAGGAGCAGCAAACAAGGAGAACCAGGAGAAACCAAGGACCTTCTCAGTAAGGGTGGGCCAGCCTGCCCCTTGGGCAGCAGAGGCTGCTGGGCACTGCACTTTCCACATCCGAGCTTATCCTCTCACGCTGCCCTCATCAGAAAAGCTGGAGTCTCCTCTCAGGACTGGATTAACAAGACACTGCACATCCTCATGAGATACAAAGAACTGAATGAGGTGGCACTAAAAAAAGGGAATATCTTCAGCTTCTACAAACCCTTTTCCATTCCAGCAACCCCAGAACTGCTGTTTTTAGCTGTGAAATAATCCTGGAAGCTGTTTAGGGCTGCACAGCTGGTGTCAGCTCCAGGGGAAGCACCACATTGAGCACTCCCTAGGTCCACAGCTCTGCAGGGGCAGCTCAGGGAACTCCATGAATTGCTACTTACTGTTTTTTGTGTTTTCTTTCTTCCTTTCTCTTACTTTTGGGGCTTGAAGAACTAAATAAGAAATGGCTAATTAATTCGGAGATTTCTGTTCTGATCAAAAGCTGCACAATCACACATCACTGTAACAGCTAGATTGCCCAAAAGCGTGCAATATAAACAAAAGGGATTAATGATTCTGCAGCAGCACAGGGGGTCTGAGTGCCTGCTGACAGATCTCGCTCATGGCCTTGGCCAGAAAGGATCCTTAAAGTGATCAGCCCTCCTGGAGACTTTGCACGTGACACTATATACACCCATGTGCTGGAATCGGGAGAGTTCTTCCAGTACACAGCTGGGAAGCCACTGATCAGATGTTTCTGAGATGGGCACTGCTGGGGGATGCCACACTGTTTGCAAATAAAGCCACGAGAGAGAGGAAGACTCAAGATGCAGGTTGCATGCCACATGGGTGGGGTTGCCAGGGGCTAGGTTGTACCAAGAGGTCTCTTCCAGTTAGGTGCTGGAAGCACAAGTTGGGCTGGAGACCTGATTCCTGTGCTGTCTGAGGAACACGTAAGGCTGAATGCAGAGGGTAGTCACAGACTCCCAGGGAGTTTGAGGGATCCAAGGGGATTCCACAAAGAGACACAGAAGTGTCTTCTGCCCCCACCCAGTGAGATCTTGATGAGACCATTAAACTCCTATTTCTAATAGAACACCCACACTTGGTCAACTCTTACCTGTGCCTTCTCTTCTTTGATGATAACCTGCAAAACACAAATATGTACATTGAATACAGGGTCTCACCAAACTGGAATCTGAATCAGAGACAGGGTGTTTAGGCCCAGTGTTACACTGAGAACTGTGAGACCTCATGTACCATCTGGCTCTCCTTTAGCCAGCTGGAGAGGGGGTAGCTGAGAAACGCTGGTGTGGTAGAAGTGACTAGCACACTCTACAAATAACTAAGAATCTGATCCTTAGGACAACAACTCTGCAGGGATCAGATACATCCCTGTGCCTGGTGGGTCCCTTGTCTCTGCTGTTGCCTCCACAGTCTTGCATTGCACTTAGTCTGAGGGGGCAGAGGTGAGTCCATTCCCTGGTTTTCTGTATGAAGGACCAAGTAGCAGTCAAAAGAAAAGTCCTTTCTGTACAACCCCAGAGCAGGCTCACAGCCAAACCAGCATCGTGCCTCTGTCTCTTCTCCTGGAACATCCCTGCATTGACACAGGAGCTGGTGGTCCTTGTAGAAAACCCTTGGAGCATGGAGGACACTGCTTACGGTGAGGCCAGGCAACAAGAAACTGCACAGCCCACTGTGTCTTACCTCAGCTTGGAGCACAACACCCTGCAGAAGACACAGCCTAGGTCCTGCCCCGGAGACCATGAGGTTGCCTGTGGCAAGGTCAGTTGGGCTCCGTAGCTGAAGTGCTGCCAGGCATCTGCCAACAACCCCCACTGGTCACTAGAGGGTTATCATGCTGCCCTTGGGGACCACCTACAGCTTGTCCTTGGCTGGCAGGGGCATCAGTGGGGACTAAAGGTTTAAAGCTGAGGAGCATCTGACTCGGGACTTCCATCAGGAGATGGCATCCATAAAAGAACAGCAGAATCCCTCCTTGGGAAGGAAGTATTTTAAAGGAGTCTCTGTATCCTTGCCTCTCCTCCTCCCTCCATTTTCTTTAAGATTCAAGCTCAGCTTTTCACCCTGCTGTCCAGCTTCTCTCTTTGGTTCACTGCATTATAAATACATGAACTTTCCAAGGCAGGTGGCATCCACTATTCTCTTCAAATATTGGTTTAACGATTGAGAGAAAACAGGGAAATATTTGCAATTTAAAAAATGAATTATGCTCTTTAAATTAAAAATGGGCTTCAGAAGGGGAACAGGGAGGCAGTCACCCAGGGCTGGGAAAGAAGTCTGAGGTGTCCCTGCAGGGAGCTGTTCTGAGCCTTTTCCTGGCACAAACACTAACACCTTCTGCAGGCTGGGGGAGAAGGGAGAGGGAAAGGGACCAGTGCAAGCCTGGAGCAACAATCCCATTGGTGTCCCCAGGGATGGGAGCCATGTGAAGCAGGACAGCAAGGGCACCACATGGAGCTGACCAGGCTCCTCTGTCTCTCTTCCCCCACACCCTGACAGCTCTTACTTATCCATTTGCACTGGGTATGCACCCCGTGTTGTGCCCTCAGCTGGGGGGTGCCAGCTCTGCCCCTCCTTGGCTATCTGGCTTTCCACTCCCGGTGGGACCCTGCCCTGGGCAGCCGTTATTAGGAGTCAGGAGTTTGATGGCTCTGTCTCCTGGTGCTGGGCTCACCAGCTGCCCAGCAGCAGTAACATCTGCCACCCCGTGTCCAGCCTCCCCCAACAGCCACTGCCAGTGAGAAATGACATTCTCAAGAGAAAAAAAATACCTGTTTCTTTTTCGCTTCTTGGAGCTTTTCTTCTTTTTCTTCTTCACAGGTGAGAGGCTGTAGGAGGGAGATCTGAGGAGGCAGAGGGGCGTTAGGGACCACAGGGCTCCCCCCCACAGACCTCCTTGGCCACCCCAACCCTTACCCGGCCACCAGCAGCATCCCCCCCAGAGTGGAGAGTGGCCAGGAGCTCCTGGGAACCCCCAAGCTGGGCTGCAGGGTGAGTCCTGGCCCAGCCTCTGCTGCCCTGAGGAGAGGGAAAGAAAATCATAACCTAACTAAGTCCACGGCTAAACCATTATCTACACAACTTTTAAATAGATCCAGGGATGGGGACTCCACCGCTTCCCTGGGCAGCCTGGAACAGGGCTTGACAACCCTTTTGGGAAAGATGTTTTTCCTAATATCCAACCTAACCCTTCCCTGGCACAACTTGAGGCCGTTGTCTCTTGTCCTATGTGTTCCTTGGGGGAAGAGACCAAACCCCACCTTGCTGCAGCCTTTTTTCAAGGAGTTGAGAGCAAAGGAGAACCTCTCTCCTGAGCCTCCTTTACTCCAGGCTCAACAGCCCCAAGTCCCTCAACTGCTCATGATAAAACTTGAGCTTTAAAAATTCACCAGTTTCAGTGCCCTTCTTTGAGCCTCCTCCAGCCCCTCAAGGTCTTTCTTGGAGTGAGGAACCCAAAACCAAACCCCATATTGGAGGTGCAGCCTCCCCAGTGCCCAGTCCAGGGGAACAATCCCTGCCCTGCTCTTGCTGGCTACACTAGTGCTGGTCCAAGCCTGGATGCCATTGGACATTTTGACCACCTAGGCACACACTGGCTCATCTTTAACCAGCTGTTGACCAACACCCTCAAGTCCTTTTCCACCAGGCACTTTCCAGCCACTCTTCCCCAAGCCTGTAGCACTGTGTGGGGTTATTGTGGCCCAAGTGCAGGACGTGGCACTTGGCCTTGTGCAGTACCTCCCCGGGCCTGAAGAAGCCCCCAACCCCTCACACCCCCCCGTAGGGGATCCACCATCCGTTCCACAGCAGTTTTCCTGCTGGCAGACAGCCGAGGGCTGCCTGTCCCCTCACACCCCCACGGCCACCCTCACCTCCTCCGCTTCTTGCGGCCAGATTTCTTCTTCTTCTTCTTGCCCCGCGTGGGCGGCGGGGCACGGTCCCCATCCCACGAGGGGCTGAGGAGAGGCAAAACCAAATTCAAATTAAAAACAACAAAAGTAAACCCTGAATCAGCTCCCACCAGACCGCTCTCTCCCATCCCCACCTCAGGACACTCAGGGCAGAGATCAGCCTTCACAGTGGACCCAGGGCACAGGCCAGTGTTTAATTACCCTTTAATTAGGACTAATTTGGTCACAGATTATATGAAGTGTCTCCTCCACAGGTCTAATGGAGATATAACAAGACAGCTGCTGCATGGAGAGGCTGATTATTTAAAACATGTTTGCTGAGGTTAATGACTGTAATAGATTTATAGGTTTTGTTGCTCTTTGTAAATATGCTTTAAATAATTAATTGGCATTTAATTTGCATACAATAATTATTGCAAACAGATGGGTCTAACTATAATAAAAGACTTGACATATGTTAAGTAGCAATTGATTAGAAATATATATATATTTATTGAGATTCTATGATAATTTAATGAGATATGCATCCCTTACACAGTTGTTAAACCTTGAAAAAACCCTTCTGTAAATTGATTTCTTTTTTAAGCATACGATGCCAAATCACATCATGTTTCAATGAAAAGCAAATCTGATGGCTAAATTAATTCAGAGCACTGGGCTGAAAATATGACAGATACTCTCATTAGCCAAAGCAAACGCTTGTAAAGATGGAGGCAGCTGGTGGTGGCCTGTCCATCCCCAAATCAGCCTGCAGATCCCCAAACTGACACCCAGGTCTCTCTGTGGATCCCCAAATGGATCCAGGACTGAGGTTTGTGGGGGGCACATCCAGCTCCCCACAGCTTCTGCAAAATCGCTGTTGGAAATGTGGGTGCTGGGTTTGTGCCTCAGTTTCCTCACTCAGCACCCTGCCAGCAGAAGCGGCTGCTAGCCTGAGCTGTGTGAAGGTGGCCCCACATTTGGGAAACACTGTGGGATCTTCATGACAGAAACCAGCCAAAACTTGAGCTGTTTTCTGCAGAAAAAAAACAAATGTTATTGTTAATAAAAGTCTTAATGTGGAGCAAACATCACTGGGGGGAGGGGGGGTACTCCTGCTCCACTGCCCCCTGCTCCCCTGGGGTTTGAATTACTACCAAAATTACACCACCATAAAAAGCCAACTGCTTGGTGCTTTTAATATATTTTTCTAAAAAATTGCTCTGGAAAAAAAAAGCTGCACACTAATGCTTCAGTTGTGAGCTGTGAACGACTGAGTCGAGTGCTTCTGGGGCAGCAAATCCGAGGTGCACCCACAGACTCCCTCCCACTCTCTGTCTCCCCCACCCCAAGGATTGCACCAACCAGCAGAAGGACTGTCAGGGCACATGGCACATCTTGAGCTTGGTGGGCCATTTTTCTACATTAAGGTAGAAGAAATGTGCTCTCCAAGTCAGCTCATTGTCACTCAGCTCGGACATTTGCCCAAGGGTACCCTCAGGGTCTGTCCCAGCCCAGGGACCTAAACACCAGTCACAGACCCTCAGCTGTCAGGATGCTCAACACCACCTCCCATGTGCCTTCTCCAGCGAAGATTTGGGCTCCCCAGCAAACAGTTCTCATCCCACCTCATCCAGGGCCACCACAGCCAGATGTTGCCATGGCCAAAGGAGAGTGGGGAGAAACCTCTGGCAGCACCATGCAGCTGCAGGAGGTTTCTGCAGAGCCCTTCTCCCAGGATAAAGCCTTTAGTCTTTGATGTGGAAGCTTTCTCCCTGCCCTGATCCAACTTTAATTGTTTCTCCTTGATTATAATCAAAGTCTAATTAAAAATATGCTTTAGATTATTGTTCCGGTTAGCCTGAAATCTGAAGATATGAAATGTGCTTTCTTGCTCTTTTCTTCCAGCATTTTGAACCAAACAGAGAGGCTTTAATCCCAGAGACAGTTCA